CTGGAGGCAGAATGAGATGGACCCACAGGCACGGATCAGGAAAGATGCTACTGAAAGCAAGTTGCAGGATGTATGAACCCATTCAGGCTTTAAGAGAAAAAGGACACACACCTGAGTACTTGTGTCCTTGTCCATGCATATACAGCATCCTGTACATACAAGAACCCCAACAGCAGTTACTGCTGGTGGATAAGACTTTCTCTCTCCTTTGCTGTTTAACAAAATTTTAAATCATGAACAAGTACTAATTGTATCTGAAAATAACCAATACAAAAAGGCAAGCAGAAATTCTGTTGCATGAGTATATCAAGGATGCTCAGCTCCCTTCTTTCAATCTTAAAAGTTAACCAGCAAAATATGCCTGATGACAAACGAAAGTCTTCATCTGTTTATAAGCCCCAACCCCCAGTGGCAAAGGTTTTCGCCCAGGTAAGAGACATGTTCGGAAAAAGGGCTTGTGCTGTAGGAGGCTCACGGAGCACAGGGGTACTGCCTGCACACTCTGTAGCTCCCTCTGTGTGGTCCAGTCCATGACCATAAAAAGCTGTGAAGGAATCCACTGTCTGCTTTATGGTCTGTACTCATTGTGAAAATATGTACTGATTTAATATGCTGGGGATCTTTCTTCTATACCAGGGTCATTCCTACAGTCAGAAAAACCATTGAGCAGGTTAGTATGCTTGAGATCATTAGGATGCCTGAACTGCTCCACGAAAAAGAACAAACATGCCTTTTTAGATGATGAATTAAAGTATCCACAAAAGGTCTAGAACAATGATTCTCAATTGCAGGGGAGGCAGAGGGCTGCTGAGGTAGACGTCTACCCCCTTCTCTCCTCTCTCTCCAGCTGTAATAACTGCCAGTAGGCCAGTGTTACTGATAGGGATGTACCAAGTGGTAAAATGTGGTAGAAAACAAACTCACTAGAGCTTTTGTACAAACCTTGTGACCTGTCAGTTCATACCAGCAGCATTGGAGTCTTCAAAGAAAATATTTATTGTTTCAGGTCAAGTCAATCAAACAAAGCCCAAAATTAAGCCTCAAATCCAGTATACTAACTGAACAAGTGTTAATTTGCCCTGTACTCAACTCTCCTCCAGGCCTGGTTCATCATATTGAATGGAATACCTTAAACAGAGACAGACTTCTTGTACCATGCTATTCACACTGACATTCAAAGTAACACCAAGACAAACACAAAACTTAGTCACTTAATCCTGGTCTCTCTTGCCTTGAGTTTATTGATACAATTATGCTTATTCTCGCTTCTGTACCATCATACTCTCCTTTTTTAAACCAGATCCTTCCCATCAGCATAAAAATATGCTCTAAAAACTCCCATCTTAAAATATACATACACATGATCCTGGTCTGCTTTCAACTACTTTCCTGTTTCTCTACTTTTCTTACTATCCAAACTTTTCCAAAGAGTGGCTGATACCAAGGGTTGCCAAACTATAACTGGTAGGCCAAATTCAGCTCCCCATCTATTTTTAAAATAAAGCTTTCCTAAAACACAGCCACCCCCATTTGTTTATGTCTTGTCTGTGACTGATTTCACATTACAAAGCAGAGGTGAGTAGCTGCGACAGAGACCAAGTGGCTAACAAAGCCAAAATTGTTTAATGTGTAGACTTTTACAGAACATGTGAAGTCCCTTGGTGGTGCCAACGGTTAATGATTGCCACTAATGGTCGAAAGACTGACAGTTAGAACTCACCTACAGGTGCCTTGATGGAACTGGAGTGGCAATCTGTTTCGAAAAGATCACAGCTTTGAAAGCCCTATGGAGCAGTTCTACTATGCACATGAGGGTTCACCATAAGCCAGAATTGGGTCGATGGCAACTAACAACAACAACAGAAAAAGTTTGCCTACCGCTGGTCTATCTGTATTCCCCATCTCTACTTTCTTACTGTCCACTGACTTTTTAGCCCACTCCAATCCAGTGTCTCTATAAGTCTTCTAGTGAAACTGTTTATCAAAGTCAATGACATGATGTTACAACATCCAAAGGGCGCTCTTCTGTCCTTAACCACATGCCACAGGTAGCTACTCTCCTTCTTCAAATACTGACCTTTCTTCACTTCCATGACCTACTTTCTACTGGCAAGAAATGGCAAAGTAAAAGAGTTGAGCAGAAGATTACAAAGGGCAGCTAGAAAAGACAAAGTGAAGTATTATAATGAAATGTGCAAAGACCTGGAGTTAGAAAACCAAAAGAGAAGAACATGCTCGGCATTTGTCATGCTGAGAGAACCAAAGAAAAATTCCAAGCCTTGAGTTGCAATATAGGAAGATTCTACTGAATGATGTAGGAAGCATCAAAAGAAAATTTAAGGAATATAGTTACTGTAAAGAAAAGAATTGGGTGATGTTCAACCATTTCAGGAGGTAGTATATGACCAAGATCCAATGGTTTTGAAGGAAGAAGTCCACGCTGCACTGAAGGCATTGGTGAAAAATAAGTTTCCAGGAATTAATAGAATATCAACTGAAAGGTTTTAACAAATGCAACACTGGAAGTACTCATTCTGTCTATGTCAAGAAATTCGGACAGCAACGATCTGGCTGTCCATACATATTTGTGCCCATTCCAAAGAAAGGTGCTCCAATAGCATGCAGAAATTATCAAACAATACAATTACTATCACATGAAATTAAAATTTTGCTGAGGAGAATTCAAAAATGGTTGCAGCAATACATCAACAGGGAAAGTCCACAAACTCAAGCCATATTCAGAAGAGGGCACAGAACAAAGGATATCACTGCTGACGTAAGATGAATCTTGGCAAACAGTACAGAATAACACAAAGATGTTTATCTGCGTTTCATTGACTATGCAAAGGCATTCTACTGTGCAGATAATAACAAACTATGGCTAACAATGGAATTCCAGAAAACGTAATTGTTCTTATGTGGAACGTGTAAATAGACCAAGAGGCAGTTATATGAACAGAACAAGGTTTAATTGAATGGTTTAAAATCAGGAAAGTGTGCGTCATGGTTATATTCTCACCAAATTTACTCAATCTGCATGCTGAGCAAATAACTGGAGAAACTGGACTATTATTTTCACATGAACAAGAGCATAGTATCAGGATTGGAGGAAGACTCAATAACCAATATATAGATAACACAATCTTCCTTGCTAAAATAAAAGCAAAGAGGACATGAAGAATTTACTGATGAAGATCAAAGATTACAGCGTTCAGTATGGATTACACCTCAACATAAAGAAAAAATTCTTCATCACTGGACCAGTATGCAACATCATGATAAATGGAAAAAATACTAAAGCTGCCAAGGATTTCATTTTACTTTGATCTGCAATCAATGCTTTGGGACGCAACAGTCAACAAATCAAATGGTGTACTACACTGGGCAAATCTGCAAGAAAAAGTGTCTTTAAATTGTTAAAAAACAAAGATAATCATTTTGAGTACTAATGCGTACCTGAGCCAAGCCAGGGTATTTTTTTAATCCCCTCATATACATGAGAAAGCTGGACAATGATTAAGAAAGACAGAAAAATTGATGCATTTGAATTATGGTGTTGGTGAAGAATATTAACTATATATACCATAGACTGCCAGAAGAACGAACACAACTGTCTTAGAAGAAGTACAACCAGAATGTTCCTTAGACACGAGGATGGCGAGACTTCATCTCAGGTACTTTGGTATGTAGTTTGGGAGAGACCAGTCCCTGGAGAAGGACATCATGCTTGATAAAGTAGAGGGTCAGCAAAAAAGAGAAAGAACCTCCATGAGGTGAACTGATATAATGGCTACAACAATGGGCTCAACCATAGCAATGATTGTGAGGATGGCACAAGACCAGGCAGTATTTTATTCTGTTGTCCGGAAGGGCACTATGAAAAAGAATCAGCTCTACAGCACCTAACAACAACAAATGGCAAATCATTTCATTGCCACTGGGGTTTCAGGAATTGTTCTCTGCACAACAACAACATAGTACTGAAATCTTCTATTTATGTGGCCCATCCTAAGATGCTAAGCAACTGAAGGGAAAGCTTTTATTAGCATGAACCACACAAGCTGTAGGCAGTCAGTGATTACTGATGACTTGGATGATTATGAAAAAGGTTAAAAAATAAATCACTCAATTTGCTTCAAAATAAGAAGTGAAGAATTTTGGTTCTGAGAAACTTTAGCAATCATCCCTTAACTAGCTACCTTAGTAGAGATATGACAGTAAAAACTTTCAAGAATACGTTATCTAGTTTAATCACTGACTCTTGCCTAACAGCTGAACCATGTGGGCACAGGCCAGAGAGCTAGGCCTCTTACTCATGAAATTACTGAGTCATGAAAATAACACCTACAGTACTTGTGTCTTTGAATGGCGATGACAATTAATACGTAGGAGCTCTAGCAAAAAATGATTAATTCTCATGATATTATAAAGTTCTCTAGTTTTAGCAATTCTGAGCCAAATAAGTAAGCATAAAAGCAGAACAGGAGAAGAATCTGTGAGACATCAGTCACTGTGAAAGAAAAAGGAAATCGCAGGTGTCTTACGTGATATACTTGTTATAGAGGATGAAAGCATGTTCAATATTGCCTTCTTCAGAGTAAATGGATGCCATTCGGATAATCTCAATGCCAGACCGGTAGTACCGGCGGGGTGGAATGTCTTCATTTACCTCCACAGCACTACCCAGCTGAGAAAGAGCCCTCACCCGGTCTTCAGGCGGGAGGCTCACATTCCCATGGTCAGGCATCAGGATCAAGAAGTTCTAAGACAGGAAAAAGAAAATAGAAGGCATCAGCACCATGACCCCCATCATCCCAGCAGAACCTAGCACAGAGCATGTTTATCTCATAAACTTCTACCTTAACAAGAAAACTAGAAGAAAATATCATATACTGTGACTCATAACAAAAAGGTCTCTTTCCTACAGCAAGTCTGAGAGACTCTCAGCGAAGCCCAAATCACAATGATGAAAGCACTGGCAAACTCAAAAACCCCCAATTGCTGTGGCATAATTAGGTAGTATAGGAGGACCCCCAGACAGATCTAGAGGGGTTCAGTTCTACCCTTCATATGAAACATTCTCTGTCATTAGGTGTCCTTGCCCTGAGAATCATAAGCAGAGACAGTATCTTTGTTATTTCATCCAGCTACTTTCTTCCACTCAGCCCAGGACCAGGCAAAGTACACTGAACTTTCATAAGGACTGTTAACTGACAAAAGTGTGATGATTTTATTTGAGAGTAAATGAAATGTTTCTGTGGTACATTTCTGGAAACTTGAGCACAAGGTAGGTTTGGAGAACTGGTCTGGGAATGAATGTTCATAATCATAACTCTTCTCAGGAAACCACTATTCCAGTCTACAGCATCATCCATCCTATCATGGGAAGGAATTTAAATTCTGAAAACAGCAATTTACTCAAACCTATCTCTAAAGACTAAGCATTCTTTGAATAATAAAAAGGGTATGGAAGAATTTGAAATAAAAACAAAAAAGGCTAGGAATTTTCCCTGGGTCCCCAAATCCAATAATTGTATAATCTTTCTAGATAGTGTTGCTGTTAGAATTAGATTCCAACTTCAAACCCACTGAAGTACAGAGCGCCCTAACCAACATGCTCTGGAAAAGACCATAAACTAAACAGCCCAATCCAATTCCAATCCAGGAATTCAAGGCCCTGTGAACCGGCTCCATTGTGTCTTCCTATACTTTTCTGCTTCCCAACAGTGACATTTTGCTTCACCCAGAATTCCGGTGTGCTCAGGAATGATCACATTTCAGTTTCATTAGTCTATCTTGTGTCTGCCAACCCCCTTCTCACATAGAGTCTTCTCTGGACCAATTCTCTAAGTGTCTTCCATATTCCGGCTACACTTCCTTCACAAAACTTCCCCTCTAAAACAATCTCACCAAAAGCACACACACACACACACACACACACACACACAGAGGCAGCCCATCTCCTACACAGCCTCTTCCGGGGCTAAATCTCAACCTCCTTCCCCTTAAACAAGTTGCCGAATTAGTAAACCCAGTCCAGAGTCCATTGAAGCTAATCGAAATGGATATGGTGCCCCTGGATTTTGTGGCTCAAAAAATGAGCCTCCTCTCGAGGCCAGCAAGTGGTCTTGGCTACCACAAAATTCAGCAATACTCCGAGGAAACGAGGTGACCACAAATATGGGAGGAAAGTGACGTAAGGATATGTGGAAGGGCAGAAAGAGGCGAAAGGAACAAGCAGCAATGGAGGAGAGTGAACGATGTGAGAGGGCGCAGACACAGGAGGGAAACCTATCGACAACTACTTGAGGCGCCTTTCTTCAAGGCATTCAAGTCCAAGTTGCCGATCCCCAAAAAATTCATCCAAGACTTTCGGGACTTTCGAGTGCGGTAGACGGGGAAGTGAAGGGCCTGAATAGTCAGGCTCCAGTTCACCGGAATGGGCGCGATCAGGAGCCTTGCACTCGGCGGGTCGGAGAAGGGGTACGGGGAGACGAAGGCTGCAGGCCCCACACTCACGGCGGCCGCTTCCCTTCAGAGTTCGACCACGCTCAGCGCCCAGACCTCACATCCATTCCCAGGACCTTTCCCCTCAGACGACTCTCGGAACTTCTGAAAACGTCATTTCCGGTACTCGCCCCGCCCACCCCCGCTTGTCTGTCAATTACATTCCCAAGAAGATGATTTGATGGGCGGGGCTAAAAAACTACCAAAAAAAGACCAATGACGAGTGAGGTTGGTGGCGGCCATCTTAGTAAAGGAGATGAACAAGGAAGATGAAGAGCAACGTAGTTAAAGGAGCCAGTGACAAAACTAACATTTTTACACACTGGGAAAGGATTTCCTACCAGATAGCGGATCCATCACATTCCCTCAAATCCTACATTCAAGAAGGTATTGCTTGGTATTAATTGCCTTAGAGTGTTCCAACCCCTTGGGTGCAGAGTAGAACTGGGGGAAGAAAAGAGTAGCACTGGGGGGGTCCAGAAATCAGGACTAAACATGAGCCACTTATTGACTGAAAATTAATGACTGAAATCCTGAGGAATGTTGAAGCCTGCTCCCCTCATTACTTCAACAATTGTAAAGATGCTGGAGATCGCATGATAAAATTTTGTAATACCAATGGTTTCTTCATTGCAAATACCTTTTTTAAAACAACATAAAAGATGACTATATGTATGGATTTTACCAGATGGCACACACAGAAATAAAATTGACTATGTATGTGGGAAGAGACAGTGGAAAATCTCAATATCATTAGACAAAGCAAGGCAAGAGGACCACTATGGAACAGACTATCATATTGTTCATATGCAAGTTCATGGAGACTGAAGAAAAGTAAAATACGTTCACGAGAGTCAAAATATGATGTTGAACATATCCCAACTGAATTTAGAGACCATCTCAAGAACAGATCTAATGCAATAGACACTAATGACTGAGGATGAGAAGAACCGTGTGATGACATCAAGAACATAATACAGAATAAAAGCAAAAGGTCACTAAAAAGCAGGAAAGAAGGAAAAGATGAAAATGGATTTCATAAGGAAATTTTGAAACTTGCTCTTCAGTATAGAAATGCTAAAGTGACTGGAAAAATTGAGACAGTAAAATAGCTGAATACAAAATTTCAAAGGGCAGCTCGAAAAGGCGTCACGTATTATAATGAAATGTGCAAAGTAGTTCCTCACTCTTTCTTCCTAGTCTGTCTTTGTCTGGAAGCTCATCTGAAATTGTCTACCATGGGTGACCCTGCTGGTATTTAAAAT